CTTTTGAAATTGAGTCCAAGATTATCTGCCGTTAATATGAATAACTGATATCCTGCTATAAATGAATCTAATAAGTGAATACATAATAATCAAAACCCCAAACGTCCCAAAGATTGCAACTTGATGCCAGTATTACGTATTGGCGGTTAACTACTGGAAAGGATGTCCGATGACAAGATGGAACGACGGAGAAAAATATTTTCTATTTCTTTCAGAAAACACTGCGAGATAAGAACTGACGACAGATCCCTTTTTTTTATTTGGATTTTCAACTGTACTACTTTTCATTACCTCAGCAGATCGTGTTAGTTCTTTGTTTGTATCTGGGTTTAGTAGAATTCCGTTCTCTTACTTCTGCAAACACTGTAATCTGATTTGGTGAGCTACAGAACACTATCAGCCATTATAATTCACCACTTAATTTTCCTTTGTCGCCATTGGCCAAGACTGATCACGTGGTATGATCTCGCACGATCATTATGAGGTAATAGCCTGCCCACGGGTGACTATCAGATAACAGTGCCCTCTCGGAGAAGTAGCTTTTTTCATATCGATCTTGTTAAACGCGGTAAACAGCGGCACAGTAAAACGGCAGGCGGACGCAGAGGTTTCGAGCTTGTGGAGAAAAGTTAGGTTTTGACATCTCCTTCTTCGCCGTTTTGTTTAACAAATAGATTCTACGATGCCTTGCGTCTGTTCAGTAATACATCACAGATGACGTCAAAACGTGGTATTACACTGTATTAAAACACGACATGCGTTTGAGAACATGAGTTAGGGAGTGTTCTGAAATGTCCGAAGTGTTTTATAAATCGCAGTGTAATACTCGGCTTAGGCTTCTCCATTTGCTTTATGATATAGATTTTACACACAGCGAGTAGAAACATCAAAACAGCTCGACAAAACGCGACTTCTTGACTGTTTGCGCTTCTTCTTTACCTGTTAAGTTAACCTCGTCTTCAAAACATTCTGCTACTTCGCAGAGAACTCCATCACAAATTTCTTCAAACGAAATGTTTTTCGCTATCTCTAACAAAAATGTTGCCTACAAGTAATGTGTAGAAAAACAATATAACATGCAATCGGAGCGCGCGGGGGGTGTTACCTACATTATAAAAGTCAATAGTTGACATAGGAATTGTTCGTAAACGTATAAATTTATTTTCGTCCACGATGGAGACCTTAACGGAAAAACGAAAGCTCCAAGCGTTTTCTAGGCATGCCACTACAGGAAAACTTTGTGGTGAACAATATTAGGCAATATCTAGGGGTGCTAGGGCGTTCATGTCTCGGCCATATTTAAACAATAGAGTGTTTCTGTCGAGGAACTATATAAACAATAGCCTCCATTTGGTGCGGGAAAATATGCTCGGATATTTGTTCGCTGACATTATTTGTTCCGAAAAGCGAACAGTTTTCCGAGAGCGTAGCTCGAGAAAAACTGTGAGCTTTAAGGAACAGATTATGTCCGAGGACAAATATCAGAACATAATTATTTTCGAGCCAAATGGAGGCTATTGAGTTTATTATCCTTCAAACATTTTTTTGGCAACACGCACGGTTTTGAAAATTGGAAAACATCACTCTGATATTCCCCAGTTTCAGCTGGGGAATATTCGGTCACGTGGCGCGTTGAAACCAATCGCGCGCGAGCAAAAATATTTGATGGATTATAACGACTGATAGTTGTCCCTTGGAAATTTGATGTTCTTAAAACTAGCATCCTTTGCCCTCGAAGCGATAGTTCCGAGACATTAACACCCTATTGCCTTTATTGTTCACCACTAAATTTTCTTCCCTGCGCCAGTTCAAAAGTCGCATTGGATTATTTTCACCTTTTTTAGATGACACCCGTAAAAGCCAAATGTAAAATTGGAAAAAGAAAACAGAACAAAACCCACTTAACCCTTTAACCCTCAAAACTTCCCCCAAAATGCTCTTTTTACCATTAAATCAGTTTTTTTTCTGGTTGCCATGACGCTAAACGTGACTCAGTTTTGCTGAAAAAGCTACTTTCTTTACCAAATAGATAAATTTCTAGGAGATTAGGCACAAAAAGGTACAAAATTTTAATTCGACGCGTGCATGCGCATAAGCCAAAATTTGGACATTTATTTTTACTTTATTTATTTATTTATTTATTTATTTATTTATTTATTTTATTTTATTTTGGGGGGGGGGATTGCCCTTTGCGAATTTTTTTCTTGCCCCTTTCTTTTCCTTTTTCTCGGCCCTTTTACTCTCGCTCCTTTTTACATTTCATATTCGTTCTGGCTGCCGTAAAAAGTTGGGTTTTATTTATGGACAAAGCCTTGAAATGGGACCTTGATCAATTATACGTATAATGNAAAAATATTTGATGGATTATAACGACTGATAGTTGTCCCTTGGAAATTTGATGTTCTTAAAACTAGCATCTTTGTCCTCGAAGCGATAGTTCCGAGACATTAACACCCTATTGTTTTTATTGTTCACCACTAAATTTTCTTCCGTGCGCCAGTTCAAAAGTCGCACTGGATTATTTTCAACTTTTTTAGATGACACCCGTAAAAGCCAAATGTAAAATTTGAAAAAGAAAACAGAACAAAACCCACTTAACCCTTTAACCCTCAAAATTTCCCCCAAAATGCTCTTTTTACCATTAAATCAGTTTTTTTTTTTTGGTTGCCATGACGCTAAACGTGACTCAGTTTTGCTGAAAGAGCTACTTTCTTTACCAAATAGATAAATTTCTAGAAGATTAGGCACAAAAAGGTACAAAAGTTTAATTCGACGAGTGCATGCGCATAAGCCAAAATTTGGACGTTTATTTTTACTTTATTTATTTATTTATTTATTTATTTTATTTTATTTGGGGGCGGGGGATTGCCCTTTGCGAATTTTTTTCTTGCCCCTTTCTTTTCCTTTTTCTCGGTCCTTTTACTCTCGCTCCTTTTTACATTTCATATTCGTTCTGGCTGCCGTAAAAAGTTGGGTTTTA